TCCTGCCAGTCCAGGAGACTGGGCCTGGAGTTGCTTGACCCTCCACCTTCAAAAAAAAGCCAGAAATTGGGATTTTTATGTTAAATCTCCCTATTTTTAAATGTTGGCTCCGACTAGCCCAGGCAGGCCATGTAGCTCCAGTGGCACTTTTATTATTTTACTTATGTGTTTATTTTATTTCTTTAACTCCATCTCAGCAATGGCAACAAACCAGTGGCTTTTCCTGTGATGTCCAGTCCGTGTTCCATATCTGCACTGTCCAGTTGCCCGTGGCCACACAGGGCTATGGAGCACTTGGAGTGTAGCTGGAGTGACTGAGAAGCTGTGTTTAAGTTTGATTTTAGTTTAATTCATTTAAATAGCCACATGTGTCTCTTGGCTCCTGCACTGGATGTCACTGCTGTGAATTCAGGAATACAAGTTCCAGAGTGCCTAGGTTCAAAGCCAAGCTCTGCCACTTCCTGGCTGGCTTGTGGTCTGGACAAGTCATTCCACCTCTCAGGGCCTCGGTTTCTACATTTATACAATACGAAACCCGTAGGCGAGGCTTGAGAGCCAAACGAGACACCCCATGTAGGCACTCAGGTGCTAGCTGTGTGAACCTTAGGCAAGGCATCTCTGCCTCAGTGTCCTCATCTCTAAGGTGGGGTGACGACGTACTTTAGCAGTGACTGTGAGGACTTAATGGGATCATTCATATTTAGGCTATATATTCACGTGGGATTTGCCATTACCAGGCCATACCGATTCTTCACGGATTGGAATATCCTGAACCAGTCTGACTATCTCTTGTGCAAACTACCTCCCCCCACACTGTCCCAGTCTCTTCTGACAGCATCCAGTGCTAGTACCAGTTACAAGTTTTGAAAAGACCCTTCTTGGCCAGGTGCAGTGGCTCACGCCTATAACCCCAGCACTTTGGGAGGCCATGGTGAGAGGACTGCCTGAGCCCATGGGTTTGAGACCAGCCTGGGCAACTTGGTAGGACCTCATCTCTACAATAAATCAAGAAATGTAGCTGGACATGGTGGTGTGTGCCTGTGGTTCCAATTACTTGGAAGGCTGAGGGGGAAGAATTGCCTGCAGCTGATTGAGGCTGCAGTGACCATGAGCGTGCCACTGCACTCTAGCCTGGGCAACAGAGTGAGACTCTGACTCAAAAAAAAAAAAAAAAAAAAACTCTCCTTGGTGTTTGTTATAAGTAAAATGCATTTGAAACTGGGCCAGCTGAGTGCAGTATCTCACGCCTGTAATCCCAGCACTTTGGGAGGCTAAGGCAAGAGGATTGCCTGAGCCCAGGGTTCAAGACCAGTCTGGGCAACCTGGCGGGACCCCATCCCTACGGTAAATTTTTAAAAATTAGTAGGGCATGATGGCATGTGCCTGTAGTTCCAGCTATTTGGAAGGCTGAGGAGGAAGGATCGCCTGAGCCCAGCAGATCAGGCTGTGGTGGCTGTGAACATGCCACTGCACTCCGGCCTGGGTGAAGGAGTATAACTCCAACTCAAAAAGAAAAACTGTGGGCCAGATTGAAACTGCACCTAATTTTTTCGGAAGGTTCACAGGTGTCTACAAAGAATTCAAGTCTGCACATCACCCCAGTCCAGGGTGCACTGTGTAGTCTGTGGGGAGCCTTTCTGACATCCTCACGTTCCCTAGCTTTGGTAAGTCACAGGATTGAGGGGAGGGGCCTGTGCTTACTGGCAGGGAGCTTTGAAGTGGGAGACTGTCCTGACTGAAAGCAGAGGTGGAAATGAAGCCTTGTGTTTGGGAAGTGTGATCCTGTGGGTTGTGGTCAGAGCACCACCACACGTGTGTGTGTTTGCCGGCCACAGTGGGGGACAAGCTTAGTCCCACGGAACCCTCTGAGGGGCCTTTTGAAATGTGACTCGGATCTGTCTGCTCACCAGGACGTGAAGTGTTGAGTTGTTCATTGGCCCAGGGCTACCTCCCACCCCCATGGTCAAGAGTGTCCCTTGGGGGTTAGGGCCCTGGCACTCTGGGCCACACCTGCTTCAGTGCCCGGGGAGTCCGCCTGGACCTCTCCCCCTACCTTGGCACTGGCTCAGGGATGGTGCTGTCAAGGCACACCTGACAGCTGGGGAGGGAAGGGCTTGACGTGCATAGGAGGCCTCAGAGGCAACATGGCCGAGGTGTTTTCTAAAGCGCTTTGGACACGGGCTGCATTGCATTGTGGTATGCTGTGGGCAGGATTGCACCAGAGTTCAGGCATCCCCCAACAGGATCTGACTCCAGGGTCATACCCCTTGTGAACCCTGTGGCCCTGGGCAAGGTCCTGACATCTGTTTCCTCAGCCATAAGGGGTTAATTACCTGCAGCCATACCACCATGCACACCCGGATCTCAGCTAAGCAGGGTCAGGCCTGGTCAGTGCTTGGATGGGAGACCATGGGAGTTAATCATAGTACCTCCCTCACGCACTCACTTATTCAACAAATATTTACTGAGCACTGTCGGGCCCCATTCTAGGTGCTGGGGTACAGCAGTGAGCAAACGAGCTAAAAAGCTCTGCTCTCATGGAACTGGTATCCTCAGACAGGAGGTGGTGCTCAGATATTTCTCAAGGGGTAATACTGTATCGTAGGGAGGTGCAGTGGGGTGGGGACTTGGCTGGGTGGACTGGTCAGGGAAGCCTTTTGGGAAGGTATATTTGAGCAGCGATCAGGTGGAATGGGAAGGAGAGCCATGGGAATATGTGAGTTGCCAGGAATGAAAAAAAAAGAGAAAAGAAAAGGCCTTGAACTTGCTGTTCCCTCTGCCTGAAGCGTCTCTCCCAGGGTCTGTGGGCTTATCCCTCCCCCTTAGGTCTTTGCTCAGGTATCATCTCAGCACAGCCTAAGGAAAAAGATGCTCAGAAAGCCCTTACAGCGCACCGTGCACAGGAGAGAATCCACGTGCAAACCCATGCCCATCACAAGCCTTCAATAGAGACTACTTTTATGCTTTGTTTTTGAGTCAGAGTCTCACTCTGTTGCCCAGGGTGGAGTACAGTTGCATGCTCATGGCCACCACAGGCTCGACCTGCTGGGCTCAGGTGATCCTTCTGCCTCAGCCTTCCAAGAAGCTGGAACCACAAGTGTGTGCCACCACTCCTGGCTAATTTTTTCATTTTTTTGTACAGACAAGGTCTCGCCAAGTTGCCCAGGCTCGTCTCTAACCCCTGGGCTCAGGCAATCCTCTCGCCATAGCCACCCAAAGTGCTGGGATTACAGGCGTGAGCCACCGTGCCCGGCTTCACAATATGTTTTTAAAGCCCTGGGAGCCATAGGAGAGTCTATGCAGTGGAAAGGCATGGTCAGGTTTGTGTTTAGAAAGACCCCAAAGGCCAGAGCGGTCAGGGCTAGGATGGGGGGACACAGGCAGAGGGGTTGGGCCAGGAGAGGAATCACAATGGGCTGTGGGAGCTTAGAGAAGGTGCTTGATTCCCTTGGGGAATGTTAGGAAGAGTTCCTAGAGGACATGAAATCTGAAAGTGAAAGCGGAATTAAGGAAGGAAGTGGAACTGCACACAATGGCTCACGCCTGTCATCCAAGCACTTTGGGAGGCAGAGGCAAAAGGATTGCCTGAGTCCAGCCAGGGCAATTGGCAAGACCTCAACAATAAATCCAAAAATGAGCCAGTCATGGTGGCATAGGCCTGTGGTTCTAGCTACTTGGAAGGCTGAGACTGGAGGATCACCTGAGCCCAGCAGGTCGAGCTTCCGGTGGCTGTGAGCAGGCCACTGCACTCCAGCCCGGGCAACAGAGTGAGACTCCAACTAAAAAAAAAAAAAAGAAAGAAAAGGAGCCTGGGATGGTCTGCACAGTCTGACCCACAGCCATTGCTTCAACTCCAGTGTCCTCAAGAGGAAACTTTAGACCAGCTTGCTTGCTTTTTCTTTCTTTCTGCTTTCCTCTCCTCTTTCCCCCTCTGCCTCTCTCCCCCTCTCTTTCCTTCTTTCTGTTAGAGTCTAACTCTGTCTCCCAGGCTGGAGTGCAGTGGACAGATCCCAGCTCACTGCAGCCTCAGCCTCCTGGGCTCAGCCGATCCTTCCACCTCAGCCTCTTGACTAGCTGGAACTACAGGCGTGCGCCACCACACCCAGCTACGTTTTTTATTGTAGAGATGAGGTCTGGCTTTGTTGCCCAGGTTGATCTTGAACTCCTGGGCTCAAGCAATCCTTCTGCCTTGGCCTCCCAAAGTGAGCCACCACACCCAACTATACTAACATCATCATTACATTATTACTATTATTTTGAGTAGGAGTCTCCCTCTGTTGCCCAGGCTGGAGTGCAGTGGCACACTCATGGCCACAGCAGCATCTACCTGCTGGGCTCAGGCCATCCTTCCGCCTCAGCCTTCCATGTAGCTGGAGCTACAGGTGCGGACTACCATGCCTAGCTTATGTTCTGATTTATCGTCGAGACGAGGTTTCAGCAAGTTGCCCAGGCTGGTCTCGAACTCCTCGGCTTAAGCAATCCTCTCTCCTCAGCCTCGCAAAGTGCTGGGATTTCAGGCTTGAGCCACTGCAGCCGGCAAGACTAACGTTCCTTAATTCAAGAGATTCCCCAGCACCTACTCTGCCTGGCTCTGCTGAGCTCTGCCTCCCTGGTCACCACGTCTTAATCCTGTAGAAGAAAAACATGTACGTTGAACCTGTGTTTCTTTCTGTAATTACTAGCCTCTGAGTATTAACATTCTTTACTCCGGGGGGGAAAAAAAAGACTTTACTCCATCTAAAGGGCTTTGTCCCACGCACAGAGTAGTTATGACCAGAGAGGGCTGGGGCTGGAACATCTGCTTCCAACTGGTTTTTCTTGCTGAGGTCCTGGAATACTAAGGAGGGTCCCGGGGCGCCCCCCCAACTCGCTCGGGGCTGTGGAGCGGCCCCCTGGGAGGCGAAGACGGAATTTCCTGCCCATTTGACCTCACACCTTCCGGAGGCCAAACGGGCGGCCCAGCGGCGGCCCGAGGGGGGAGGGGCGCGGCCGCCCGGCAGATGGCGGCATTTACATACAGCTGGGCGCCCCCTCTGAGGCGGGGGCTCCTCGCCCTGGCGTCTGGTGCGTCCGCGGCGCGGGGTCTGGGAGGGTGGCTTTGTCTCGGGGAGGGGGAAACACGCACGCACGCACACACAGGCCCACAGGGGTCCACAAGGAGCGCCGGATCCTCCTCGTTTCCACGGCCGGCTGCCCCCGGGGGCCTCCCCAACCCAGCCTCATCCACACACGTACCCTCGGTCGTTTACGGCCT